AACTCTGCCGCAGCTAACCGGGACCTCCTGCTGGGTAGCTAGGACAGGAGGAGCATGGAACCTGTGCAGAATACGTCCAGAACTTATGTCCTCTGCTTCTGACAGATAGCTTTGACCAACATAACTGGAGCAGAACCTGGAGCTTCACATTCTTCCAGAAACCTACAGTGAGACGGAACAAGGTAAGAATCATCAATAAGTGGCAGATGAGCAGGTCAGCAGCTCTCTGGCGCCAGCGCTCATTTTCAACATTCAGAAACATCAGATCCAACATCCTGGGAGGAAACAAAACACTTCAAAATGTCTTCTAATGAGGGGAGACTAGGGATGGCCTCGTCTTCAAAACAGAAACATTAACATGGTAACATTAATAATAACTGTTCAAAAGCTGCTCTGATTATTAGTTTAAATCTTTAGCATTGTCCTGATGCTTCTGTTCAGGTTTAGTTTCTGCAGGAAAGACCTGTTGGCTCTTCATTCATCTTTCCTTTGACAGCCTGGCAGCTTCTCACCAGTTTGGAAGCTGAACAGCTCACAGCTCCTTTCAGTCTCTCAGTAACCAGCATAGCTTAATGTAGGTACAGTTTGGAGGCGTGTCAGCTTCTCAGAAAGGAATCTTAATCTAGCAGATTATAAATGCTGTAAGCAAGCAGCATGTGTTGGTGCCAACAGTTTGGACTCATCTACATACATGCAGCTAAATAAAAAACAAGAGCTGCAGCTGGAAATGATATAGATGCATATTCTATAGATACCAACGTAGATAGTCATCCTGCAAAGGTTTTATTCAGTGACATGAATCTCAGTGAAAAACATTTTTTCTCGTAATGTACTGTAACAGTATCCGTGTGTAAAAAAACCTCATGGGTGTGAATACTTTTCAAGAGTTTCTAGATAATGAGCCCTGAATGATTCTCCTTTATATTCCTCTCATTCTTCAAATCTGCTACTTAAGTGTTTCCCGGCGGGAAAACAGACAAACGGTGCTGAGAATAAAACCTGTATGTTGCAGAAAGGGGTCTGAGAACTAAACCTGCAGCCCTGATCCCAAAAACTAACTAAACCTCTGACCTCCTATTGGACGCTTCCTCCTCTTCCTCCTGCTGTGATCTTCATCCTACTCTTAGTGAAACTACATTCTCTCATTTCTCCCCTGCTGGATTCCTCCACATACAGGATTTTCTGTTTCTTGTTCTGCTCTCAGGGCTCAGATGAAACAGATGTTTCCAGGTGTGCTGAACCTGTTCCTCTACCTGTAAAACTCAGCAGGTGGTTCCAGATGTCCTCAGCCTCCTCTTCTCGGGTCTGGATGTAATTCTGCTGCAGTGATTCGGTCCAATTCCCAGTCCTTGAACAGTCCGGTTCTGGATTCTCCTCACTGGCATCTCTGGGCTTCAGCCGGCTCCGGACGTCGGTGCGTCATCATCAGCCATAATGAATGAACCTCCCGCTGGGTCTCTAACAATGACAGCGGGGCGCGCTCTGCCAGTGATCGGCCTCTGAGCAGCAGGGAGGCCCCCAGGCTCCAGCCGGGTCCAGGCTGAGTGCAGAGAAGCGCTCCGGTGTCTGAGCGGAGTGAACAACTGGGGCCCCTGGGCCGGGTGAGGAGATGGAGCGCGCGACAGTGGCGGGGCGCGTGCCATTAAGCCTGTGCGCTTAATGTGGAATCATCTGATGGAGGTTTGGCGCCATCTGTCGGAGGAATGGCCGCTCACTGACTGGGACAACTTTAGTGTCAATTTGTAAACAAAACCACATTTCATTTCTACAGTTTTCAGCAGTGAAATGAACATTAATAAAATAAATGTAGAAGTCCAGAGCAGTGCAGAAATAAATACATAGATGCAGTAAAAACATTAGAGTTGCAGCTTTTTGTGAATATGTGAATATAATAGTCACACTACCTCACTGTTGTTCCTTACCTACACCTCATGTAAAAGTCAATCCAACTGTATATAAGCCATCCGGGTTGTACATATGACGCCTCAAATCTCCCTTGTATTTTTTTATTTCCTATTTTTATTTTGTTTTTCATTGTGTGTGATACATGTACACTTGCACCTTAATCCTTGTTTATCTTGATATACTGTGTATATATATATATATATATATTGTTTATTCTTAATGCACCTTTTTCCTCCTTGTTTGCACCTTCTTTATTTACTATGCCAATATGTGACCAGTGGATTTCTCAGCTGTGAGATCAATAAAGCTCATCTAATTTAATCTAATCTTTTTGCTGAGAAAATCCTCCATTTATGGATCAGCGCCTCTAAGATTCACCTGATCTCTGTCAGCACCTGAAGCTGCACTGCTGCTCACCCTAAACCTCACAAAACATTTCTAAACAGGCCTCTGCAAACACAAGGAGGTGAAACCCTTTCTGAGCATCAGCAGGGAAATTATTAAATATCTATTTACCGCAGGGTACAGAGAGGAGTATTTCTATTATTATTAAAAGTACAAAATATACAACAAACAAATCTTCATATAAGAAATAACATCAAAACATTCAAACAAAAATCTTTACAGAAATGATAAAACTACCTGGAACACAAGCTTTTTCAACACCGGACACAAATAAACAACAAATAAACATCGATGCAAACTACATTTTTAAACAAAGGGATTAAGTCAAATCCTGTCCTTTAAAAATGTCCTGTTCCTAGGCAACCATATGTCCATCCTGGCATTGCTTTAATGAACATTTTTATTCAAAGTCATTGGAATCACGACACCAAATAAAAAGAGCACTTTCCAATCTGTTCATGTTTTTGGGAGCAGCAGGACACAAACGCTGCAGACATTAAAAGGAGAATTCCAGGCATCAGTCATTCATACGGTTTATAATATGGTAGAAAATATTTCAGTGCACAAATGTTCGCTGTGAATTTACAGTGAATCATTGGATAAGGTTTGTGTGGCTTTCAGAGTAAGGATGACAGCAATATACTGTAAAACATGCTTGCAGCAATTCGCTGTCATTTCATACATGATAATACAACAAATTGTTTTAAAAGCACAAATATAAACTGGATTATTCACATGATATTCCAGTAGATTACAGGGTGGCGGTGGGGCTGTCTATGGGTGAAAGGCGGGGTACAACCTGGAGGGGTCACCAGTCACCATCCACACATAACAGCATTCAAGTCAACTTGTCAACAAGTCGACTTAACTGAGCTGAGCCGACTCACATCTGGACAGCTCTAAAGTTGCCTTCCCCCCACTGGCCAGTGTGGGCTGCATGGCATGCAGAGCTGCTCTCCTCTGAGCGTATTCTATGGGATTAGTAGAGCACACAATGGAGTTACTGTAACAATAAAAGCCATATTAGAACCACCTGATTTAACCAAGATGGCAGCTGTAAGTCAGCTGCACCCCAACCTAACTTAATTTGATGATGCCATAGAACGAGGCATCGACTGAACCTGGAAGAAATCTTACACTTAGACTTCTTTTATTGTCAATTTCTTTACACAGGGTATTACAACAACATTTCGATTTGTACAACTCTCATGACATTTCCATTCCATTAAGTGCAGTGGTGATCAGATGTAAACACTGTGGGAGAAATAAAATGGTGAAAAAAAACGCATTGATCTGGAAGTTTGAGTCTGTGACATGATTTAGAGTTTACTCAGCAGTTCATCAGTCTGAAGGCGGTGGGGAAGAAGCTGTTGCAGAACCTGCTGGTCCTGCATTGAATGCTGTGAAGCCTCTTCCCAGAGGGCAGCAGGGAGAACAGTCCATGGTGGGGGGTGAGGGGTCAATGATGATGTCACGGGCTCGGGACACGCAGCGCTGGGATGAAATGTCTTTAATGGAGGGAAGAGGAGCCCCCATGATCCTCTCTGCTGTTCTCACCTTCTTCCAGTCCGAGGCGCTGCAGCCTCCACACCACACAGAGAGACAGCTGGTCAGAACGCTCTCTATGGTGCTTCTGGAGAAGGTGGGGAGGATGGGGGGGGGGCAGGTGGACTCTCCTCATCCTCCGCAGGAAGTCCAAGCACTTCTGGGCCCTTTTGACCAGTGAGGTGGTGTTTAAATTCAGGTGAGGGTGTCTGTGATGTGCACCCACAGGAATTTGGTGCTGCTGACCACCTCTACAGCTGAGCTGTTGATGAGCAGTGGAGCTGCTTGTGACATTTTGAGTAAAAGAGCAAAAATGTGGCGGCGATTCAGCTCTTCTCATTGATTTTCATAAACATAAATTTCCTGTAAATCATCTACAAATCAAAGATCGTTTATTTTTCTGAAATTTATTTTTCAATCAATAATTCCTTTGTTGGAAGATAATTAAATGATAATGGTATATTTTATTATTAATTAAAGTGAATTCTCCTCATAGATTTTCTGGTTTTCCAATGTGTATCTTTGTGTCCTCTCCCTGTCTTTGTCATATTTTACTTATTTATTGCGAAAATAAAGTGAAATCTGAGCTCCGGTGTTTTGGCTGAAGAAAACATTTGTTTTCAGGTATAATTATTAAAATAACTCAGATTTTAATATATATGTAAATTAAAAGAATTCCTTGTTGCAGCGACATCATGGGGAGCAGTGTGTGGTTAAGGGTCTTGCTCAGGGCCCCAGAGTGGAGGCTGTGGGGATCGAACAGAGTACTTGCAACCTTCTTAGAGCACACAGTGCACTGCTCTGACCACTAGGCCATCACCCCCCTCTGTTACAAGTGCTGTCCCAATTCTTCAGATTCCATACACTTGTGACCTCCCTCCTATGGTGAACTTCCTCTGTGTGATGACTTCATAGTGTGACTGATTGGACTGGGCAGCAGTCAGTCAGTCAGCTCTACTCAGGGTGAAGTTCGCTGCAGCAGCTGTGAACCGAAGTGGCAGCAAACCCAGACTTGGTCCAGCCGGCTGCTTTAATAAAACAGGTCGGCAGCATTGCTGCTTTCAGAAACTTCTTCTATTTCGGTCAAAGATCTCATTTCAGTCGGTTCATCATCCACAGTAAATGAATCAGTCCACACCGTATTAATCTGAACAGAGTATTTATTAGTTCAAAGCTTGTTTTCTGTTTATTTTAATGTGATTCCCATGATTTAGCAGAAAACTGAGGATCTGGCCTCTGCTTCCAAACCAACAGCCATTATTTAAAGGTTGGAAAGCGATGAAGCTCCAGGCTTTACGCCTCCATACAGGTTGGTCCTCAGAAACACCAAGAGTTTCCTCCAGGCGTCCTCCTGGGCCCGGGAATGTTCCAGGGTCTGCCCCCCCCACAGAGCCATCACTGCAAACAGCAGGCGGTTATCAGAGCGGCAGCAGAGTCACAGTAGCAGCTTTAAAGACCAGAGGAAGACCTACGCTTTTGGCGTGACTGAACATCTCTGAACACACTGGCTCGTGCGTGTGGCGTGTACGGTGGCTCGATTAGGTGACCTGCGTTAGGATACGACAGGAGGGTCAGTAGATGGCTGTTCCCTGCTCGCTCCATCATCGCCTTCATCTGGAAAACAGAACATTCCCAGTCATTCAGACGGTTACCAGCAAGGAAAGGTGGATGGATACCAGTAACACCAGCAGAGACACACCTAGCATAAGTATTCACACCCAGATACCGAATCCAACCACAAACCTTTATTCACTCAACATCTGCTAACAAGAAGTAATGTAGAATATGGTTTTAATTAATTTTTTTTTTTTTTTTTTTAAGACCAAGGAGTTTCAGTTTCGCCGTCATTCAGGCCCTGAATTTTATTGATTTATTTTTTCCTTTAGGTTAGCCTCGTCTCAGAGCTCAAACTGTTTCCCTTCTCGTTAGCCTGTAGCTCAGACTGAATGCTTATCAGCAGTTGAAGTCTGAACAGGAAAAGTTTTACTGTCTGCAGGTTTTGATGCCATTAACTTCAGCTTCTCTACTTTCTTTTTTCTCCAGTAGCTCCACCCGACCTGGTTCTGTTAACCTGTGACCCCTTCTGGAGGGAATCATCGGCCACTGCCTAAGTTATTTATATCCACTGGGATTAATAAAGTATTTCTGACGATGATCCACCCCGTGTCGTTTCTGGCTGAGCTTTACTGGTCCTGAATCCTGGACATCAGTCCTTTATGATGAGCTGGTTAGTCTGTTTCTCTCCTGCATAGAAAGACCTTCTTGAGTAAAGATTTTCTCCATCTTCACAAACCTCCAGTCAATCATTGCAGAAGGTCAGGTCTGGTTTCTCCCAGCAGATAGAGGAACCCTGAAGGAGAGTTCTTCTCTGCACGGTTCCCTACATGCTACTTTGGGAAGATGGATTGATGCTAAATTGATTCCTCCAGCAGAACCAGGCTCAATGTGAGCGGCCATCTGCTGAGGCCGACTGGGGTTCGAGGAGACAGAAGCAGACATAGAAAAAGAAGCATAAATAAAAAGGCCACTGTCATCAAAAAAAAAAGTTTAAAACAAACTTTTTTTTTTTTTTTCAAAATTGAAGACGTTTCCCATACTATCAAGAAAGCTTTCTCAATTCAAAATGTCTGGAGTAATGTAGGGCTCCAGGCTTTATAGAATTGCCCAAAAAAGGCAACTGTCAACCAGCTCCACTCTCCAGAAAACAGTCAGGCAGGATTAAAGGACTAATGTCCAAGCAGGATCTAGAAAAACAGTCTAAGCCTACAGCAGCATAACTATAGAGATAGAATGAAGCGGAATGATGAAATAGGGGTCCCTATGTCCTCCAGCAGTCTAAGCCTATATCAGCATAACTATAGAGATAGCTCAGGATAACCTGAGCCACTCTAACTAGAAGCTTTATCAAAAAGGAAAGTT